CAGTGATGCCACTGAAGAACCATTTTGCGTTCCCAAAGAACCTTTTAGTGAACAGTTCTTAAAAGAACCATTTTTTTCTTAGTGTAAAGAAAACAATCTAAATAACCTTTTTCCACTATAGAGAATTTTGTGGAATGGAGATGTTCCATGGATGTTAAAGGCTCTTCATGGAACCATCGATGCCAATAAAGAACCTTTATTTTGAAGAGTGTATTATAAGCATGTTTGTTTTTCTTGAACACTTCTTCATTGTGCCAGCCACAGATGAACACTAGTTCAAAACACATTCACATACAAACGCCTGATTATTGTTAAAACATTTTTATTTACATTTAGATATATTTAAGTGAATAGGAGAAAAATAAGTATTTGTCTGGTGATCTGCAGTCTTGCTGTTATTATAAATGTCTGGCCTCTAGTGGTCTTGAGCTGTTATCACAGCACATTGGAAATAAAGAAGGAATATTCACATTAAAAGAGCCTCTCTCAAACACAAAAAGCTTAAAATAAAATATACACTATCAAACATTTGGGGTTGGCAAGATTCTTTTAAAATATTTTTGAAACAAGTATTTTATGCTAACCAAGACTGAATTTATTTGATTAAAAATACAATATTATATATATATATATATATAATTACACTTTAAAATAACGGTTTTCTGTTTTCTATAAGCTAAATTTTCAGCATCATTACTCACACACGATTCTTCAAATATCATTCTAATATGCTGATATGGTGTTAATGAAACATTTTTTCTTATTATCATTATTAAAAACAATTGTGCCGCTTCATATTTTTGTGGAAAACATGACAATTTTTTTCAAGATTTTTGACAAATAGAAAGTTTAAAACCGCATTTATACAAAAAATTATTTTATAAAGATCTTTACTTTTAATAAATGTAATGCATCCTTGCTGAATAAAACCATCTATATAATACACATACACAAATAAATCTCGATCATCAATTTTATTTGTTCTCAAACTCATGTTCTTTTTTCTGTGATCATAATCCAGCACTATAAAGGACTCAAGACAAATTTAGGAATTAAAGGAGAACCATTGCTCGAATATGAAAATGAATTCCATTTTAATCATGGGTTCCATTTTAATATAGGGTTTGGAACAACATAAGGATAAGTAAATTACACAATTTTAATTTGTGCGAGAACTACCATGTTGTGTTTCCAAAAACCTGTAAGCAGTGTTGGGGAGTAACTACTTACATGTCATAGAATTACGTAATTTAATAAATGTAACTGTAATCTATTACAGACAAAACGTGTAATTTAATTAGTCACTTCTGAAAATGTTAAAGATTACAAAGCGGGTTACATCTGAATATTTGCACACACTTACAGATTTGATTTATTTCTTTCCCAAATTGCACTGACTGCTCTTAAATAAGACAACAATGTTTCAGGAGTTTAAGACACAGAATAGGACACGTTTATTTGATAACTGTTTTATTTCCTATTTGGGTTTGTGTAACTACTAAACTATATCTTACGATTTTAAAACTGTATTTAACCTCAGAACTATCTCAAAGCAAAAAGAGGTGCTAAAGTCTGATTTTGTGGTGGCTTTGCATTAAAATGAAATTATAATTTCATTATAATTATAATCTTAATTCAAGTGAAGAAGGATTTTGAAAGTCTGACATTAATCAATGTTGAGTACTACTGTATTATACAGTATGAAGCATGTTACAGCTGACTCAACATAACAGAAGAAACACTCATTACAAAACAGCTCTGATAGAATTCAGTCTCTAATGACTTTATTCTTTATGCTTCAGCAAACGCATACAATATTCAAATCCAAAAATTCAGTGCTCTAGGAAATTTTCTAATGTATTTTCTGGACATTAAGCTTGGTTGGGTGATTAGCAGCATACACTGCATGCACTTAAAAAAAAAAAAAAACAGTCCAACAAGGGCAATAGAAATCATGTAGTTGATTTTGATGATCAGCAATCATTATGAACTGTTTTTGTTAGAGGATTTAGGTATGAAGTGTCTGTGATTAGTCCATTTTCTGCATGTTAAAATGGTCTTCTAGAGTTGAGAGAAAAGCTGTGCAGCATTATCCACATTGACAGCTTCCTGCGGAGCTTCTCTGACCACCTGAAATATACAGTTTACCCGAGATATGACTGTCCACACAAAGTATGTACAGTACAAAATGTATTTGGACACGAGGCATGAAATGTCACTGCGTTTGATCGCAAAACATGACAGTGACATTTAGAGACAAAGCACAAAAACACTTTACGCAAAACATTTGACAAAAAGTAAAGTTGTATGTATCAATGTATTTGAACATTGTGATTGTTTATTATTAGTACATTACTGCCAAACGTCACTGTTATATAGTTATCAAATTTAAAGCTACAAATAAGGGGGAAAAAAGCAAGAAAAAACACTCACTTTCTGTCCTTTTTTGGGTTCACTGGATGTACTTTTTGTATTATTCAATAACCAGACAAGAAACCAATATAAAGAGGTGGTACTGGTGCTGGCCTCTTTATTCCACGTGGAACATCCATCATATACAAATTACCACACCACTCCTTAGCAAATGCACTGGACTTTATACAATCCATTACTGCCACCTAGTGGACTAAACATCCCACTCATTACATCCCTTTTCCTTAAATAAATAACATTACATCCCTTTTCCTTGAATAAATAACATTACATCCCTTTTCCTTGAATAAATAACATTACATCCCTTTTCCTTGAATAAATAACATTACATCCCTTTTCCTTGAATAAATAACATTACATCCCTTTTCCTTGAATAAATAACATTACATCCCTTTTCCTTGAATAAATAACATTACCTACTAAACCGTTCACACTAAACACTAGTCCAACACCAAACACTCCATTACTCCATTTCACCCTTTACAACACATTCATTTTTCAATACCAAGATTATTTCACTTTTCTTTTTTTTTTTTACAAGTCCAGTCTAACAGGTGGTTTTCTAACACGATTAGATCTTCGTAAGATTGGATTGTCAGTCTTTGGTATAGATGAAACCAGTTCAGGGGACTGTTCAAAGAGCTGAACCTCAAAAGGAGACTCAGCAACAGGAAGAGACACAGAGGGCATTTCTGGAGAAGATTTCTCAACTTCATGAGAAGTTAGCCCATCCAAAGGAGACGGTTCTATATTTGACTTACAGATTTCTACAGACTTCAACAAACTCCTCCGATTTCTCCTTAGCACTTGGCCATCCTCTGTTTGAATAAGATTTTGATATACTTTTTACATCTCGCTGTACTTCTGTGAACATCTGATTTAAGCTTTCCACTTTTTCATTTCTCAAAGTATTTATCTGCGGGAAGAATATCAGCTTATTTATATTCAAAATGGTGCATTACTGATGTAAACAAAACTTGAACTCACATGTTTCAGGGAGGTCTTGACGGGTTTCGCTTTGGTCTTGGGTTTTGACTGTTTAGTCGCAACCTGAAATACATTCTGCTGTTTTTTGCCTCTCTGTTTATTTTTGGCCATATTTGTCCAGTGGACTTTCTGATAACAATTCAACTCAATGAATGAAGCCGCAATGTGGACGTCTAAAATCTCAGTTGAACGACAGATCCAAACATCGACAGACGGAGACCAGTATGCGGCTAGATCCCACTTTGGTGACACTCGATTATGAATTAAACGTGTCTAACAAAACAAATACAGCTAAATATAAAACCTTCGCATCTATTCCATGAATAGAAAAGCGTAGTGTCTGCTGTGACTTCTGTGCTTTTCCTTCACTGTCCAATTCATCAGCGCCATCTAGTGGTGTGGAGAGTAGGCGAAAACTTGAAATAAGGTCACTACCACTGATCTAGGCTATATAAATATTCTCTATTATAGATCACTGGTCACTACTTATTGAGATAAACATGTTGGAACAAAGTATTGAGAATTTGCACTTTATTTGTCCATTTAACTCTGCAATTCTGCATTAGTGAATTCACACTTACATTTGTTTAAGATTCCAATCAAGGTTCAGACATATACAATTCAAAAATATCTAGAATAAATTAATATGGATGTATTATTTATAAGAATAATCGATGCAATCAGCTATTAAATTAACTTGATTAAATATTTAGCAAAATGTACACACATATATATAGCCTACATAAAAAAAATACATGAATTCATATTTGGTCTACACATATACTTACGAGACAAATATGCAGGCTACATTTGGCCCTTCTTTATAAAACAGGCATTTACTCGTTTGTTCATATATTAGAAATTTCGTGGTTGATAGTAGCTTCGACTCTCGACCACCAGATGGCAATCAATCCCTTTATATTGCAAGTTCAGATTCAAGTACATTGATAAACAGCTTTACAAATTCAGAACATTCGTAACTTTATATATGCATTTACAAATAATATTCACGCTAATTAAAATACTAAAATAATACACGACTAAAATAGCATTATTTTCAATATTTACAGAAATTACAAGCTATTTTCACTGTATTCTTCCATATTAATATTAAAATCTACAAATCTTAGATCATATTTTGTAGCATAGTTTTATTCTTGAGCCTATAATGAATAGTAATCACAATTATAATAGGCTAACAATAACTTTACACAAATTACACTGGCTATTATTAGTGTGTCTGTGGGTGTTTGTGATATACATTCATCATTTGAGTAAGGCAGCCCGTTTTAAAAACATATTTCCATATATCTGTCTTCAGTCATGAGATCGTTCTTTGTAAAGCGTCGAATACCAGCTAAAGTGGCGGAGTGTTGCGCAAAACCACCATTCATTCGCTCTGCTAGAGTGATGAATCATTACTGCACTCGTTGTCATTAGAACCAGCGCGCCACAAGTATCTGATTGCGCAATCACAGAACGATAAGAATGCGTGTCGATATAGCAGAAGATTCCAACCGATGAGATCCCGCATTCCGAGAGAGAGAGAGGCGGAGAGCGCGCGTTATCGATCTCTCTGTAGCTCCTCCTGCTGCTGATCACACTTAATATACGTATCATGTGGGCAAACAGCGTCCAGAGAGCCGCTATATAAACCTCCAGCTCATCTGTCAGAGGACACTGATACTGCTTCAGGACTCTTTAAGATTCTTGCTGCGCAGCTGTCATAATGTCTAACGGATGGGGATATGCAGACCATAACGGTATGACCTCCCATGTAATTATGATTTTAATAATTCATGTGTGATTTCATAGTCTATGTAAATATAAAACGTATCACAGATTGTGTCTTTTTTTTTCTTCCTCGTTATCTGCATTTGCCCTCTTTGCAACTAAGACATGTTCACCTTGGCTGCTGCACAGCCAGCACTATCAATGACAAGTGCAAAATATACAGATTTTACTATGCATATAAATTAGCATTTTAGTGTCAGATACTTTTTTCTTCACACGAATGTGAATTTTCATTTCATACCAAATACAGAAAATACCTGTGCAATAGACACCGTGTAGACACTGAGCAATTAAAATGCATTTTTTCTTTCCCTTAAAATGCACATCAAATATTTAACATAATTATTATTATTCTTCTTAAAGGCAGTGATGTAAGGATATTTTTGTCTTCTTCACATAATTGTGGATTTTTATTTAATCCCAAATGCAGATAATACCTTGGACACTGCAATTCAAATGCATACTTTAAATGCACATAAATATATTTTTATATTATTTATTTAAAAAGATATCATTAGTTTCTATTTTTTTGTACATGTTGTCTCAGATGCATACTTATTTTGAACATAAAGGCATATATAATATTATTTTTATTTTATTTTGCCTTAAAGGCAAGGATGTAGGGATATTCAGCAACTGTTGTATTTTTAAAAGAAACCATTGAAAAATACATATAATCGAAATATTGGAGGGATGTTTACGCTAGATATAGCCCTGCTCAAATGTGCAGAATTTGGTATTTAAACTCAAATTGAATGTCCTGTAAATGTATTTTTGTCCCAGATGCATATTGTTTACCCTCCATATCACCTTCCACTGCAGGACCCGACAAATGGTGTGAAAACTTCCCCATTGCTAATGGACCTCGCCAGTCTCCAATAGACATTCAAACCGGTGGAGCATCTTATGCTGAATCACTGAAACCGCTTAAACTGCAGTACGACCCCTCCACTTCACTGGACATCCTGAATAATGGACACTCTTTCCAAGTGACCTTCGCCGATGATGACGACAGCTCAAGTTTGTGACCTCTTTGTTAATATTTTATAATAAGCTACGTCTATTCTTGTATTAATCATTAGCTTTACTTAGGCAGAGGGTTCTTGAAACGACTGAAGTGGTAATGTAGATAATATTTAGAAAGAAGAGTTATTTAATAATGAGGCTGCATCTGACACTAATGCAATCCCACAGTATTACTGCTGAATATAGCTGCATACTACTGAATGTGCATTGGAAAGCATTTCGAAAGTTGGCTTTTGTTCTCTAACTACATAGTTAAACATTAATTTACAATAGTATGCTGTACTAGAGTGTTTAAAAGTCTTTAAATAGATAGTTTGCACACAGTTTTCATAGGTTATGTTTATTTATAGGTTATAGTTTATTTTATTGCATGTCTAAGCAGGTGTAAAGCCTATGTGTGAAAATATCAGAAAATAACACCTTGACCCTTCAGCTATCTCATCCTCTGTGACACAGCTACTTTTGCTTAGAATTGTGGGAAATCACACACGTGTTCACACACAAAAAAAATGCACTTAAGCTGCTAAGCAGTGAATGGTTTGTTACAAGTGTCATTCATGTGAACTTTGACAGAGTCAGTAGATGTAACCTGTGTAGCAAGTTTAACCATGTTTAGCCTGTTTAACAATTGTAACCTACTGTATACACAGCATGTAACAGACTTTGACATCACATATATTAATTTTATCTGTGTTTGCCCGCATTAGCTCTGACGGAAGGCCCGATCTCAGGCAAATACAGACTCAAGCAGTTCCACTTCCACTGGGGAGCCAGTGACGACAAGGGCTCCGAGCACACAGTCGATGGGAAATGCTACCCAGCCGAGGTATTATGCTCTCGGAGCATACTGGGAAAATTAAGACGTGAGATGTTTTCTTTTATAATTAAGCATTAATGTTCCTGATAATTTCATCTTTAGCTCCATCTGGTCCACTGGAACACAGAATATCCCAGCTTTGGGGAAGCAGCCAGTAAGCCTGATGGTCTTGCTGTGGTCGGAGTTTTTCTAGAGGTCTGTGTGCAGTTGTACATTTTTAGAGCCTATTTGTATGCAAACACTGGGACAAATTCACTAAAAATTTAAATTAGAATGAAGTCTTATGTTTTTAGGACCTATTTACTAACATTTTTGCACAAAAACAAACTAAAATAAAAAATAAAAATAAAATAAAAATATTGTGCCTTAGTCACAGTCTTTTAAAATTAGTATTAAGTCTTTGATTTTTAGGCCCTATTTACTAACCACTCGCAAATACAGAGATGAATTCACTAAATAGTTTCATCACTTTTTTCATGATATTTTGGCAAAAAATAAAAATAAAATATCTATCTATCTATCTATCTATCAATCAATCAATCAATCAAATAATAAAATAATGAAATGAAATATAATTAATAGATAGATAGATAGATGTTTCTTATACATAGAGTACAGTAATAAAAATCTACTTAGAACTGTTATTACTTACTATCAATCAATCAATAAATAAATAAAATAATAAAATAATGAAATGAAATACTGTACTTTAGTCACATTCATCCTGCATATTTTCAAGTTAGGTTGAAGAAAAAATTTAATTAGGTTAAATCTTATATTTATCCCACAAATTTTTAGTTTAGAATCAAAATTAAAAATTGTTGTTGTTTTTTTTCATCAGAATGGAGCAGAAAATCCTAATCTTCAGAAGGTTCTGGATGCTATGGATGCTATCAAGTGCAAGGCATGTCTACCAATTCAATTACATTTTGTTATCATTTTTACTTCATGCCAAAAATTGAAATCAATTCTGCTTCATTCATGGTCCATTTGTGTATGTTATCTTGCAGGGAAAGCAGACCTTATTCACAAACTTTGACCCAACTGTCCTGCTCCCAGAGTCTCTGGATTACTGGATGTACCTGGGGTCTCTGACCACCCCTCCTCTGCTCGAGAGCGTCACATGGATCGTCTGCAAACAGTCAATCAGCATCAGCACAGAGCAGGTCCTGCTCATGACACAATTTATACCAGTAATACAAGCATAGATGTGGAATTTACAAGTCAAATGCTTAATAGTGAAGTGTGGCATCTCGCATACTAGAGATTTGGATGTGCATTTTAATAATTCTAAAGCAGAGCCAAGAACACCTTGTTGACTCATAAAAAACACAGGTTTGTTAATTTGAACAGGATTAAAATCACAAATTACGTCTATGAAACACAAATTTAAATAACCTCCTTAGGGTAAACTAGTCCTATTTGAGTAGGATTTGCAAATGGGTAGTAAACAAAATGTGAACATGAAATTTTATTTTACTTTTTTCAAAAGTTTGGAGTCAGCAAGATTTTCTCTCTCTTTTTTCAATAAATCTATACTGCTATTTAGCAAAGAACAACTGAATCGGTCAAAAGTGACAGTAACAATTTTTCCTAAAGATTTTTATTTTAAATAAATGCTGTTCTTTTGAAATTTATATTTAATCAAAGAATCCTAAAATATCATGGTTACTTCATGCATGCCTCAAAAGAGGGCTTACAATGACTTACAAAGATACATAACAGCTACAAGTGTATGCACTACTAAAAAATCTTAAGCAGTAGAATTTTTTTAAACACTGATAATAATAATAAATGTTTCTTGAGCAGCAAATCAGCATATTAGAAAGATTTATGATTAAGTATGTTGAAATATATATTTAAAATTACATTATTACATTTTTGTTGAGCATTAAGACAAACATTCATCAAAACATCAAAAACATTAAAAAACGTACAGACGCCTTATGTGAAATTAACACGACCCTGTCGAATGTTTACATAGCAACTTTGGTTCAAGGCTGGTAATGTGTACATATCCTCAGGTGGCATGCCTCATTTCCTAGCTGCCTGTTGAATTATTGACTTCATGAATACAAAAATAACTTAACATGATATTCTGTACAAAATGTGAGAATTAATGATAAGAGTTTGTCAGGGGCGCGGGAAGATGTTTTCAGTTGGGGGTGCTGTGTGTGTCCGTGTTGGGGGGGCTGTTTCACTTACGATGATTAAGTATGTTGAAATATATATTTAAAATTACATTATTACATTTTTGTTGAGCATTAAGACAAACATTCATCAAAACATCAAAAACATTAAAAAACGTACAGACGCCAGACTTTTGAACGGTAGTGTATAATTAGTCCTGCAGTTTAGAAACTGCATTAATTAATTGCAATTAATATGAATGAATTAATATACATAAACTGTATTATATATACTGCAATCATACTTAAAACATCATGTCACCTACCCAAATGCATGCAGTCAGGCAAAAAAACATCCAATTATGATTTACATTATTGTTTATTTGGTCTTTTAGTCTTTAGACATTTGCCCTCATCTGAGGAAATAGTAAACAAATGTACAAAACCTTCTACTCAGTCAGTTGTATTTTCTTCTCTATTCAGCCTATGCGGCATCTAGCCCTTATGCAGTGTTCGAACTATACCGTGGACTTTGGGGGAGCCCACTTGTTTTTTTTTTTATAACCGGTGGGGGGGCATGCCTCAAAAGAGGGCTTACAATGACTTACAAAGATACATAACAGCTACAAGTGTATG